TTTTCTCAGTCTTCATGGGGGATTTTTCTAGACCAGCCCTTTTATCCTCTACATCTGAGATTCTATTTTCTGAATGATCTAGTCTGCTTTTAATACTTTCAAGGGAGATTTTTACTTCTTGTATTATAGACTTCATCCCTAGCAGTTCCGTTTGAGTCTTTTGTCAAGTGTGTAATTCCTCTATTAGACCTTGCAGGAATTTCCTCATCTTCTGGAACTCGTCAACTTCTTTCTCCTTTCTCTTTAGCAGTTCATTATCTCTCTTCTCTTCCATCTCTGTTAGCTTAGACATTATGAATGATCTGAATTCCTTATCAGACATTTCCATGATTTTCACCCAAGTGTGTAATTCCTCTATTAGACCTTGCAGGAATTTCCTCATCTTCTGGAACTCGTCAACTTCTTTCTCCTTTCTCTTTAGCAGTTCATTATCTCTCTTCTCTTCCATCTCTGTTAGCTTAGACATTATGAATGATCTGAATTCCTTATCAGACGTTTCCATGACTTTCACCGAACTGCTTGTGGATGAAGAAGAGTTACTCTTTTCCCTTGGAGGAGAGGTAATCATGCTAGCTCGTTTGTTGGAGGCTGAATTATTAGTAGAAAATCTTCATTCCCTTAAAAATCTAGTTCACTGTAGCCATGTGGAACCTTCTCCTGAAGGCCCGTGGCTTCTTCTCTATGTCTTTTGATTCAATACTGGTACTCTCATAGGCTGCTCATCAGTCCTCGAGGGTGACTTCTACCTTCCTTTGGACTGGATCACAGTCACTAAGCTGCACCACTGCTATTGAAGCTATTCGTTGAGAACACATTTGGTTTGCTTAGTTCTTTCAGGCAGATAAAAGTGGAGATGTCCCATGTCAAAAATCTATAAGAAAAGACAGCAGTTAGAACTTCGTGGACTTTATACCAGATAGGAAGTTATTGTCCTCAGCTTAAATTCCACTCTTTCAGAGCTGGCAGGTGGTGTGGTGTTTAAGGACGCTGGACTCCCACATGACTGACCATGGTTCAAGTCCTCAACCTGGTGATTTGCTTTCTCACTTTGTTTCTTTCTTTCTCTTGTTCGCTTTTGCTCTCATTCTCTTTCTCTGTTTCTCTCTGGTCAAATTAAAATAAGTAAGTAAGTAAAGTTAAATAAAATTTTTTTTCAATCCACTCTTTCATATACTACTTTGTAATAAGTGGACTATGACTCCACCACTGTGGCTCTGCTATGGGGGTATGAGGGAGAAAAGAAGGTATGGGGAGAAAAAAGAAACCTGCTCCTTCCTGTTCTACAAGCATCAGCCCCATCAATTTTCTTTTTTCTTTTTTCAAGTTTTTTCCTTCCACAAGTGAGATAGAGAAAGAGAAATAGGCATCTCCAACAGGGCTTTTTGATGCAGCACATCCCAATCTTTAACCAGCCCCAGATCATGTGCCAGAGCTTGTCATGCATGTTCAGAACGGCCTTCAGGAGCAAACCCAGAACTGTCTAGCCTCTCATTCATTCATTCATTCATTTATTTATTTATTTATTTATTTATTTATTGAGAGGGTTTTCACTATATGGCGCGTGCACTCGCCAGACAGACAGCAAGAAATCACCCCCTGGGGTGTAGCCACGCCGCAATCCCTTCTCCTCCATTCTCCTCTCAGGATCTTGGGCACGCACGCACACATGCCCGGCGTGAGTTTAAAGCTACCGGGTCCGGGATGCAAACTGCGGTCGACTATGTGGGAGACCAGGGACATAGCCATTATGCTAACTGCTGGTCCCTGTCTAGCCTCTCTTGAACTTTGGCAGCAGCAGTGCCTTTCAGTAACAGCAGGCAAATCCATTTTGCAGTTGTTCTATTACTTGGAGAAGCAGCTTTGTTGTGTTCCACCTCAGAGATCCAGCGTCAGCCAACCAGGGTTCACTCCTTGGAGGGAAGGGTCTCAGCTGCATGGGGCTTGCCTCGAAACCAGCAGTAGCCCAGCGACTTGCTGCATTGTGAAGTCCAAATGTCTGCTCTGTGGTTCCCCTTCCCCTTTCAGCCTACAGGTTCTACAAATTCTTCTTTCTTCTCTTTGTTCCTGCAGACTAAGGGATGTAACTGCTTCCTCTAGTTGCCTCCTTCCTGCTATTTTAATGTTCTTTTAGTCTTTTCAATTTCCCAATGAATACTTTGTTATACCTAGTTCTCTGTTGTC